TTGTGTGAATTAAACTATATTTTACCGAGAAAATTAGTATATATGCATCTAATGGGATATGGAAAGTCTTAAAGGTTGAACTAACCAACGTAAGTAATATTTTTATTTTCATGAACACAACTTGACTGTTTCAAATTAAAAGTTCCCTTTACTGAAGGAATCAACAGATGGTTTAGAACAATCAGACCGAAAGAGAGCTTCATTTTAGTAGAAAGTAATTTGTGATAGAGAATATGTTTGATTTTGAAGATACTACTGAAAATTGCTCTAAAATATTTAAGGTAATTGTAAATAGTATTATTTATATATTTTTAAATTTTCTGGAACATTCATAAGACTAAAACAGTTTAATTTGCTCTAGACATGTTTAGGTTTAAAACACATGGGGCACAGTTCATTTTATGAATGATGAAGCAAATGAATAAACTGAATTCGATAGTGGATGGGAATTTATATTGTTGGATTCAGTTACTAGTAAAAACTAGCGATGCAATCATAATACGCTAACATTTGTAATGGCAGCTAATTTGTCCGGGAGGTTGACAAGAGTTATCAGTAAATGAATGTTTCTGAGAGTGAAATTTCATATTTCATGGGTTTTGTTTACAGCTTTTTTATTCAAGTGGGATTAATTTAACATGTCAAGTATCATTTAATCCATATAGAATTGAATCTTTTAAGTGGCAGCAAGTGGCAAATCTTTGTGTTAAGACAGTTATATATTTACGGACAGACAGATGGACAGACGGACCGACATATAGTTAGCCTATACTGGCTTTAGTTCAATACTGGCTATAGTTAGCCTGTACTAGCTATAGAAGGACTTAATGGCTATGGTAGGCCTCTGTTGTTCTCGGGTTTTTCATTTGAGAACAATATAACCACTTCCGAAGCCATTATTATTAAACTGATATTTCCTATTCACTAGCTGTGTATGATAATGAATATCATGAATGAGATTGTTAAGCGAATGAAGAAAGTACAAGGCTTCCAGACAACCCAGGGGAATAAAAAGATACAAAATTCTAATCAGATTTATCAGAGACAATGTATATTCGTGAAGATATGTTGAATTTTAACATCGAGATTTAACCCTAAGGTTAGGAATTATCTATGGGCAATGAATTTAAAGCTATAGCCGTTTGACATTATCAAGCTTTTCATTTCAATAGCCATATACTAATAAAAGCTGTAAATTTCTGTCTGATTAAATCTCAGTTTAATTCATGGTGTTTGCTATCATGCTAGAGCAGTGAATTTAATGTCATAATAGCTGTACATGAATGAACTGCCACAGTTAATCCTTGGGCATCATAAAGAACAGGCATCACTGATGTTGATTCCGTTAACCATTCCACAATACTTTGTCAAGAAGAGGTTCTTGTTTTAGTTATAATAAGTGAAAATGTGGACAATTTACAACTTCATAAGTCATATTTAGTATTACCAGATAGAAATAATGAACTCGGGTTTTAAAATAACTTTTCAGGAGTTTTCATTAGCCTCTTATGATTATAATAACTGTCATAAGTTTGTCACAAAAAAAAAACCAAACAAAATTGATACTGATAGACTAATTTTAAAGAAGTTCACGGTCGGCATCTTTGACAAATACAGCCAACCTGCATCTTATAAGATTTACTGATCTTTTGCCTCCAAAATTTTATGAGCAGCAACAAATGTTTGTTTCAACATTTTTAATATTATTTTACAAAGAGTAAAAACGTCACTGCAAAGAGTTCTTCATAATGAGTTGCATTTGCAATAAACAATTATTTCTCAATATTTGTACAAGTTACTTCCCTTGAAATCTGTTTTTAGATCACTGAAGAGTAAACGTATTTCCTTTTTTTTTTCAAATTGGTTTAAACCTCCCACACCTTTGGAGGTGAGGAAAACATCCATAAAACGTGGCCAAGTTTTTCTGACCCTACTTCAACTGTCAAATAACTACCAGAAGCTGGAATAGTGATGGATGTTTCGGACTAGCCAATCTGTGTGCAATTACACAATAAAAAGAAACAAAATGTAGCAAGCTGAAATTTCATAAAGTATTACTTTTTACGCGTCCAATTACATCAAATTATTTACCCTTGTAAAGCTTATTATTCAATAAAATGTCAGATTGAGTTAGTCTGAATCTGTGAATAGTTGATAAGAAACCTGAGTCTCTCAATGTTTATGGAGGTATAAAATGAGCAATTTCGTTTCTACTAAAACAACGAAGATCTAATATGAGAAATCTTTAAAGATCTCATCTCCTTTCTTGTGTCTATTCATTCTCTCAATGATGGTCTTACATCTGGGCTGTGACCCACAAGAAGCAACCCGAAAGCATTTTTTGAGACTGAATATTTAAGATGAAAAAATACCCATATTGATGTTGACATCAATAGTGCAATCAGAGATGTTAGGCCTACTTATATTGGTCCGTTATGTGTAGTTTTGGGGGTTTTTGGTATCAGTTTTATCCTTTTACAGTCACATTAGCTTTAACATGTGGATGTAAATGATACCTCCATGTTAGCTTGAACACGTGGATGTAAATGATACTTTCGAGTTAGTTTGAACATGTGAATGTAAATAATTCCTTCACGTTAGCTTTAACGTGTGGATGTAAATGATACCTTCCAGTTAGCTTTAACATGTGGATGTAAAAAATACTTTTACGTTAGCTTTAACATGCAGATGTAAATAATACCTTTACGTTAGCTTTAACATGTAGAGGTAATGATGCCAACTTGTATAAATGTTTTGAAAATAGTCCTTTGCAAACATAATTTGCTTGAATAGAACGAGTATTTTTTATTGATGTTTTAGTGGAGTATTATTAGAATACAATGATAGATTAGAAAATAATTTCTGATTATAGAAGAAATGAATTGTGAAGAATAGAATGATAAGAAGAAATAGGTTCTTTCCGGAAATAAGCTTGAGTTGTCAATTACAGCTGTGATTGAAGTTATTGTGTGTAGAGAATGAACAAATTTAACTGGCCGATATTTGACTACCTAATTTATAAATCATTAGTAAAATAATTTGACTAATTATAAAATCCTATCTGTGACTCTATATCAAGGTATCTCATAGCTTCTCATAGCTAGACCAGACTATTGCGAATACTTCTTGTAGTTGTCTGAAAGAACGTGTATCAAAGTCGCAGTCATCTTTGTTGAGTCAAGATGAAGGATAATATTTTATATTCTTGGATATATCAAGTGATGTCCTGAGTTCATTCAAAGTATTGTATCAGTATTTTAGCTGTTTAAGAATCATTCTGTTTGATTTGGATCTAGCTTGTCAGGACTGTAAAATGGCGAAAATTAGTCTATGTTACCGTACACTATGTCTGTATAATTAATGGTAGATATAATTTAATATTAATATTTTCGCATATAGAAGTTAGCTGGACTATGATGTCACAAGTTCAGCATTATTTACTGGATGTTTCGAAATAAGACACCCCCCCCCCTCCTTTTTTTTTAGTCCGAATTGTATAGTGTCTCATCTGACTCAGTGGCCCTTAAACTTTTATCTGCGAGCACAGTTTTATACTAGAGTTATTATACCGAGTTTGATACATTGAACTTGTATTGTCATCTGCTGATCTCACAGCTTCGTTGCTGTGTATGAACTATATACTCTATATACTATACTATATTTATTGGTCAACCTAATACAAAGGTTAGTTTGTACTCAGTGGCGGCGCCAAAAGAGGGAGGGGGGGGGGGGGGCAACCGCGCGTCCTCGCAGCCCCGGGCAAAAATCTCATAACTAGGACAGAAATTCGGGCAACCACAGACATATGCCATGACTCCGCCACTGTTTTCGGTTCGCAATGCTACTTCACAGTTATTTTGTCAGGTGAAAATTTGTGTGTGAATATTTCAGAAAAATATTTCACAGTTTCAAGAAAGTGAAAGAATAACATGACACCAGTTATCACAAACACACACATATTATGACATATAGGCATAATGAAGACGGTGCAGGAGAGAGAGAGAAAAATATATTTTTTTATCACAGTAGTTTTTAGATTTTATTCAGCTTTATAATTCAAATATTTATTCTGATTCTGTTTAGTTCTAATGTTCATTATTTGGTGAAAAGATAACTGTTACTTAAAGGGACCGATGCGCCATTTTGAGGAGTTGATTTGAATGTTGAATATTTATAAATACTTACATTTACAAACTATGAATTTAACTCACTATTTCTATATGTCATTTTATACATTCAAACGCGGATAATTCTGGACATACATTGATTTGAAGGCTCAAATTTCGACGGTGAGCTGTGAACACTATTACTGATCGGTTTAGCTGAAAAAAAAATTGGCAAAAAATATTTTAAAGATGCTTTCCCTTTTTTCAGTTATTTAAAAATACTCACAAAGAGCACAATACGGGGAATGAAATGTGCGTTTGTATTTCCATCTGTTCTATAGTTACTTCTGGTGTAGGAATTATATGAAAACGAGTCGCTTTTACGATGCTTAGAAAACAAAATATTCGTCTCCTCTTTGTGAAATGGTCAATTTCGCATTTTTAAAGTTTTCAAAATATGTGTCCAAGGATAATTTTTGACATTAAAATTCTGCTATGAAATTGTTATCATCGATTGAAGGCGGAAACTGTAATGTAAAAACACAGAATACGTTACGATGTTTTCTTACACAGATATTAAATATAAATGTTATATATCATTATGTTTGTCTAGGGTATATAATTTACATTTTTTATTTAACATAATGACAATATACAATGACATCATTATCAGAACATAAACACATACACAAACACAAAATCATGTATAATCACCATAATAATCTTGATCAAAATCTTTCTGAATATCGTGGTAAGAAAATATTGAAACTTTTGATGTTTTTTTTCTGTTCTGCTATATTATCATTTTCACTTATTTTTCCTTTTCTTACAAAAATTTTTACATTTCAGGATTATAGTCATGCTTAGGAAGTCAAAAGTTTTTATTCATTGCAGATGACGATTGCACGAGCTTCTTCACTTGGAATGGACTTATTTAGTTATATAAGCCATATACGAGCATGTGTATTAGAAAAGTTTGGCAGTACTCAAAATGAAGGGAATGATCAGGATTCCACCCCTACCACTGGTAATAATAAAGAATTGGATAATAGTTTTGGTAAGTAATATTCTTTCAGTTTTACTTTTAGTTCCAAAAAATCTATATCTAGATTTTTAAAAATATTTTGTGAACAAATGTCTTATTTGTCATTTCTTTGGTGGGCAACTGTCCGGTCAACAAATGTCTACTGAACATTTTGTCCAGTGATCAACTGTCCTACACTAACAGTCAGGCGTATATAATGTCCATAACTTTCATCATAGTCCTTCCTCATTCTCAGCTTCAGTCAATTGTATAGCTGAACGGACTGAGACAAAATAAATTTAGAAAGTTGATTGATTATCGATTTGAAATAGGGTTAAATAATTAAAATAAGACAGTAGCTACCACCTTTATAGTAACATTGTGGCATAAGTATATAAAACCAACAATCATGAATCATTCTTCATAGGACCATAGCACCATGATTGGTAAGATTTCTTTTTTTCGATAAGGACAGGATTAGAGATTAGGGGGTTTGATGATAACCAAAGTAGAGACTTATGGCTTCGTGATGATTTTGTGATGATATTTAAACAGTTTTAAACAAACAAACGTATATGTACACCAAGATAAACTTGATTAACTGAGCTTGAATTGGTGATGAGATCTCGGAAGGTCGGATTTTATAACGGTTTCAATGGGTTTCTGACTTTTTGTCCTTGAATTAGTAGAAGTGTTGTACAAATGATATTTGATTTTGGTTGCAATGTTGCCTACTTCAGACGTAACAATGACTAGCATGCTTATAATTTTTAATTTGTTTACTGCATTTTTCCATAAATTTCTTTGACTAAACCTCTCCACGGTTATCTTTTGAATTGACCATACCCATTTACAGATGAGTCCAGGAGTATGATAAATAAGTCATTAGACTTTTGCACAATTTCCCAGATGTAACCAGTGTTTCAACTTTGCATTTATAAGGCTTTAGACATATCAACCCAATAACGTTATTATTTTTTAAAGCTCAAACCGATAAAGCTACGACCTGCCTTGGACGAATATTAAATGACGATTTTCTATTTTCGGTTGTTGATTAGAGTTTTGAATACATGTATATGTAAATAGTCTCCAGAAGTTCTAGAACTGCGCAAAAAATCGCGTTATCCCTTTAAAATACCTCAAATTAGAAATTTCACTTTCTTTTTCTATGTAAGCATGTCTTTTATATATATGACGGAATCTCAAGATAGAGATAAGATAAGTCGTCATTTTAACTTTCGAACTCAGATAATGATGGACACCAGCGCAGATCTATTGATAAAATTGGTTGGGACCAGCTGTCCAGAAAGTAGTTCCTTTTCCTCTTTAGAGATCAAGAAAACTAGATCGCCAGAATTTCGATAGTAATTAGATATCTATTTTACCAACCATTTATTACAATCTATTTTTGGGACCAACCATAACGTGTCCCCCACCTGTCCCTGTGTCCCCACCGCGATCTGCGCCCATGGGACACATTAATTTGAAGGTTTGAATTTCGACGGTGAGCTGAAAACACTATTACTGATAAGCTCAGCTAAAACTTGCCTTATTAGTCGATTGGTCGATCGAATTCCTAACCTGTTTCTTCAAACATTGTACAATCCATGTTCGACTACAAAAAACAGGTTAATATCAGATTTTTATTCAGAAAAAGCTTGTATACCTTAATATTTGCCGTTTCATTAATATAAATTATAAACGAACAACATGACGCCATTGAACACAGTTTATTTGCATGGCTATTTGAATAATGAGTGACATATAGTAGGTAATGACATGTAAAACGACTAGACAGTAAATCTATTTCTGGTACAAAATCATTAAATGTTGTCGAGAATAAAAACAAGCAATGATAAAATCAAGAGAGATCGACTAAAAGTTTATTGTTATCTGTAGGTAGATGACAAGTTAACGTTCGCTTCCAGCGGATGCTGATATCGCAAACTAGGTAGTTGTTATCTGTAGAATTGTTAACTATTTATACCTTCCTGATTAAGTGTCATAAACGTTATTGTCGTTAAGGTATTGAGAAACCTCTTAAAGACAAGGAAACAAATTACCAACAGAAGTCGTATATAACACTCGAATGTGAAGTCTGTCGAAATTAATGTAAATCACGTCACAAATGAGTTAAATGCCATCTTAACCTTGATTAAAAGATCTTATCTATGACACAGTCCAGTCAGGACTGTCTGGCCAGATCAGCATTACCACGTCTATTTATGGAATTCGTTAAAACAATATATGTAATGGGTTAAATACCTACTTCAATAGAATGAATGAATTTCTTCTTCCAGTTAACAAAACTGGACATGGAAATCGAACTGAATTATACAAAGAATAACAAAATTAATTGCTTATTACGGCATTAACTTTCAATAAGGACAGGATTCCAGAAAGATAGCTTGCCAGGCAATGTTATATACGCCCACTGGCAGCTTTAATTTGAATAAAAATATTTAGCAGTACAGTAACAATCACCAGTATGAAATATTCAACCTTCAGTCATACACTTCTTTTGATCTCTTTAGGGCGATACTGAATAATATTGAGTATGAGTTATTGCTTTTGTTCTTGAAAACGTGTTAAATTTTTAGCTCGTGAAAACTCTAGAAGGCAAATATTCAATCTTCAGTGCGGGACTGAATAATAAAACCAAGTTTCGTCAAAATCCAACAATAATCATGCCTTTTAGTGTTTAAGAGCTAAATTTGAGAGCGTTTTCAAGAACAAGGGCAATAAGTCATACTTAATATTTTTCAACTCTCTGATTTTCAATAGGGTTAATCCTTAAGTGATTACGAACATTCACACCAGGTTTCATCAAAATCCGTCAAGAATTGTGCCTTCTTGAGTGATAACGAACTAAAAATTGAACGCGTTTTCAAGGGGAATGGGAATAATTCATACTAAATATTTTTCGATTTTTCTGATTTTCAATAGGGTTTAACCTTGGTTGATAAAAAACACTCATGCCAAGTTTCGTCAAAATCCATCAAAAATTGTGCCTTCTAGAGTGTTTACGAGCTAAAAATTTAACGCGTTTTCAAGAACAAGGGCAATAACTCATACTAAATATTTTTCGATTCTTCTGATTTTCAATAGGGTTCATCCTTGGGTGATTACGAACACTCATTCCAAGTTTTGTCAAAATCCGTCAAGAATTGTGTCTTGTAGAGTGTTTACGAGTAATTGTTTACGGACCGCCGGACGGACAGACATAGGCGAAGGCAATATACGGCCCAATTTCATGTGGGCGTATATAAATAAGTCGTCTTATATAGCCCAGGCGTGAACATATCACCATGTAGTGCGAAATATACAATTGTCTCCCTGTAGGCGGTTGTGTTTCAGCTAAATAAAAGTAATACCAATTTGGCCCCCCATATTTCATTGTAAGAAGGCCTGTAACGATCCTAATCTATCTCAATCTAAAGACAAATTGACAGTATAAATGTGTGTGACATTTTGTGAATCTATTTTATTGAAAGTAATTTCAGTAGTTAACTTCCATGCCATTGAATAGTTGAAGATGAAGAAACAGTTCTACAGCTTGTTGCTAATCAATTGTTTTCTTATGTGTTTAGTTATTTTATTCCAACGGAAGTAACGTGATCACGCGATAATTTAAATTTCCATGAGACAATAGAATATTAAAACTTTACATGAAATGCTTTTAATCCAGCTGAGCAGTGACATGGTTTTAATTTCACTACAGGTTGCTTCTTTGTAAATGTTTCTCAGATTTGCCTCTTTTATTTTGACAGCTTCCACTTCCGAACGAGACGAGATTCGACGAGAACACGAGCAGTTGTCAAACGATTTAGAATCTGTACAAAGAAACTATAAAAAATTACGACAGGTCGTGGATCAACTAGAAAGAGAATATGAAGAATCTAAAGAATTCGATCCTGTTCGGCGATACGAAAAGTTAAAGAATATGGTGAAAAGGACAATTCTTCATTTTAAATTGGACCCAGATCAACAAGGGTCGGCCAGCCAATCACAAGGTATTGTGGGATTGATGCAAGGCTGTAAACAATATGCTCAACATCTAGAAAGTACCAAAAGGCGGGAAGAGCGTTGTTCAAGTAAGCATTAACAATATTTTTTTTCATCGAATCGCATCGCATTTATATTACGATACTATATTATGCACGAGTGTTCATCGCAAGGCAAAGATTGTGAAATAGTCTTAACTTACAATTTAAACTTGAAGGTGTACAGTGGTGTAATCTATACTCGTGCATATAAGGATTCAATACCACTTTCGTCCAATTTTTTTATGTCTTAGATGTTTCTTCAGTCGAGTAAAATACGTTGTATGGATATCCAGTGGTATACTTATCATTTCTTGGTATATATCTTTAATACAATTCATTATAACTAATGACAATTCCTTCAAAGAACAAAAAATAGTGACTCAAAATAAGATATGTAAAACGTAAGAGTAATTTATTGCTATAATTCAAAGGACAACATTAGAATATGGCCTACATCGTATTCCATAGAATTATTCTGCTGACATGGAATCCTCTAGATTGTCACGTGACGTGTTCACTGGAATATATTTTAGCAGGCGTCACTTGGAATTCCGAGTACACAGGCCCGTAGCCTGACCAGTACTCCTGGTCAATTTAGCAAAGCACCTTGACAGACGAATAAACGTCGGGAAACAGACTTTCACGGAGTATTTTAGATTCGAGATTATTTTTGTTAAAACACACAAGTTATAATACGTTACATTTTTATTGCCGTTTTAGTTTATTGCCATTCATTAGCAAAGGCACCTGTTGAGTTATGATGAACATAAAACCGTTTTCAAAATAGTTACTAGCAAATTCGGTTCCTAAGACATGGACACTGTGTAAGAAAATACAAGAGCGATTATACATCATTGTAATAAAATTTGATATATTTTGAATCTGGAGCATACTTAGACGTGTAGTACCATTATCATTATATTGTATCAAGAGTGGTCACATGTTTTTCGAAAGAGAAGACATACTCCCTCTGTGAAAAATGTTCACGAGTGTACAACAAACCCTTCATTTTGATAAGTTTTATCAATTCCTTATAAGATATGGACCTATTGTTGGCATACCTATATCGTGAGAGAAATGCATATAGACCCAAACAAATTAAGTTAATAAATAATAGAAAATAAATTCTTACAATGAATATTTGAATTTATCGTTACACCTCAGTAAATTAATAGTCGTGTTTCCCGCTTGAAAATGAACTAAATTTATATATAATGTGATTTTGAAAGTTTCCCATAATAGTCCAAGAGCTACTAGCTACGAGTGATTTTACCCCCAAAAAGCCCAGAAGGTTTGATGGTTTCATTGAATTAAGACTATGACAGACATTGAAAATATCCTTGGGGCCACACCAACCGGGTCTGTACCAGCTGACGTACATTTATTCAATATCTGTCATAGTCTGGTTTCATTGAAACCATCAAACCTTCTGGTTTTTTTTAGGGTGAAATCGACTGTAGACAGCTCTTGGACTATAAGAAAATATCTTTCAGAGCCATTAAAACTACGTGGGAAGTTCTTGTGCTCACATAAACATTCATACAACCAACATAAAAAAGACAAGGAAATACGATTAACAACATTACAAGAAACAAAAATAGCGGCTATTGTAGTCAAGGTATAAGTTCGTAATAGCTTACCATTGTGAAACATTGTTTTTGGAGATCCACATTCTTATCTAACCATTGAGTTGCCATCATCTATGAGTCGAGATTTAGTCTCATTAATCAACTCTCCTCAAAGAACAAACACGTGGATGCCCGAGCAAATGTAGTACACTTACATGCATTGTGCATAAGACACCATCTGGCATAGTGGTATGGACTATACCACTGAATTTTAACTTCACCATATATTACGTGAACTCACGAAACAAAGTATGTAAGGCTGTATTGTAATTGGATTTGCATTCATTATTGAGCTTTGCGCCCTAATTAGACCGGGTATAAATATAACTGTTTATTTCCTTCACAAGGTGTTAGATTAAACTGTTCTCTTTTGTTATAAAATCTTGAAGTTGATTAAATTAGTATTAGTTGGCTGGAATTATCAAGGGTTCCTGACAAGTCTATGAATAATGATTTATGCCACTCAAGAAGACATTGTTTGATTGCGTCACCTCTCATGAGACCTTATTCGATTTCCTTTCTATTAAAAATGAAGTCATGTCAAAATCTAGTTTCAATTATAGGTTAAAAACCTTCGTGATAGGACATTCGACTTATATTAGTTATGAATTTTGACCTACATGGCCATGAAAGGCATTAGCTAAGTTAAAGGGGACTTAAAACGAATACAAGTACGAAAACGTATCCGAAATGTTTTGCTAACTGGAGACTGCAGACACCCTTCCAAAGGATGTAGTCGACTTAATAATTCTTTGCTTAACCATCTGATAAGCCTGAACTATCCGTATCAAATGAATATTTTACCTTTAGATATTAGGATCAAAGAACCGGATGATTGTATCCATTATTATATTCTATTTTGTAGTATTGTTTGTATACTGAAAACCTTATCTTCAATCCCAGTCATAAATATATACACGTATCCGCAGATTTAGTATTCCAGATAGACTACAGCACAGATAATTAATACTAATATTGCTGGAGGCAAGATTTCTCAAGAGTTAAAATTTACATTAATGCAATCTTGCAAAATCTGGCTCTGGCATGTATCTTCCGAAAACGTGTGAAGATTGCTTAAAGGGACTGGTTCGCCATCCGTTTAACCAATCATACCTTAGTCACAAACACGGAAATGTTTGAGCTAAGCTAATTAGTTTCCCCAGCCCTGAGCCCACCATCGAAATTTGAATCTGAACACACTATATACATATATTCAAGACCCCCCATCCCTCTCAGTCAACCACCGACAATGGCAACACATGGCCTCTTTAGGGAAAAGCCAAGTTAAAATGACGCCAAGTGGTTGTGTAATTTCAGAAACTATGGTATGAAAGCCTTTTAATTTCGAAAATGGAGAATCAAACTAACAATGAACTTTTATTTGAATTTGCGTAACTTGTTTACATAATTATGTTATTTCAATGTCAAGTTATCTCCAGCTCAAGTCAATTTACAAGTGTAATTACCTAATGAGACCAAATTGAAATTTTGATGAGTTGGCAGATAGGAAGTATTGATTGTTTGATATGACGAAGAAGAGGGTAAAAATATGCCAAAACTAACATAAAACATCCAAGAAGATAGAAATGTGAAGGCACATTCATGTGTTTTTGAGCGGTATATCTGAAAGTGACCTTTTCAATATAAAATTTCATTACAATACACAGTTGGAGAGAAATTACTGTGATAGAAAAAAATTTCCTTTGGTGATTGTTCTTTGACAGATTGATGACATGATTCCAATCGGATCACGACTTAACATAAGACTTTTCCATTAAACTAGCGTCACAATTGGAAGGGCCATAATTAGTAGACTTACTTTTATAATTAGATTAATTGAAAAGGAAATTCAGTTGGGATTTAGGTTATTACTATCATAATGTATATTCAATGATCGAGGTTATGGCACCAATCACTTCTGATACAATCGTACAGACGACATTTTAACTACAGGCATTTATTGTGGAAATATCATGAATATGTTATAACTAATTCCATTTTATACATCCGTATACCAGCAAAGCAATGCGATGAAATCTCCAGGAGTGTAAACTATATTTATTCTTCCTACATATACATATACATCCTTTGTGGAGAAACAGACCAAACAAATACACGGGAAAACATCAATTATATAAATTTATAGAAAAGGATCAACACTATGTGTTTTTGGACCCAAAAATATCTGATAATAAAGATTCAAACTCTTGTTTAGTTTTAGTTTACAGATATCAGGCATAGGCTACATAATGATATTCTAGTTTCAAACGTAGATTCCTATATACAGTAAAATATTGTGTTCGGGATTAAAAATCTACATGAATGACTGATATAAAATGACGTGCTCTGTAAAAGTGAATGGAAGTCAGTGGTTCAATATCGTAATCTAGATAAGAATCTATAACAGTTACAAATACTACAATCCATGTTCTCTAGAGTCAAAATCTATATGTAATTTTTAGATATGAGATCAAATCATGTTCGTGTTTTAGTTTCAAAGTCTTTTAGCCATACAGCATATAGAAGTCTGAGATACAATGTCTTTTTTTAGATTCCAGCTCAACATAGTCTATAGATATTTGGAATATCAATATTATGTTCTAGATCCAAAACAAGTATATTTGAACGATGACTGCATATAAACAATGTCGTATTCAAGATGAAAAAATCTGTAAAACTTGATAGATATCTGAAATACTCAATAAGTGCCATGTTCTAGATTGAAAATTTATAATATGTTATAGATACATGGTTAAAATATCTATAATGGATGTATATTTAACAGATCTAGATATTTTAGATCTAGATACTATTCATGAGAAGTGGATTCGTGATTATCATGATATTTTTCTATATTTTAGGACTATCAAGAGAAGATATTATAATAGCTAATAGTAAAATGGGTGATCAAATTAAAGAATGTAATAGGAAATGTTCTATTATACGAGGATTGGTAGAGAATTTAGAAAGGGGATACGAATCCTCAAAACGTTATGTGGTATTACAAAGATACAGGATGCTGAAAACTATGATTAAAACTGTGATACATGATAAATGGATATGATCATACGATCCATATCATTATATTGTCATAAAGCTTGCTTGTGTGATTTTGCTTGAAAGTCGTGAAAATGAGCTTTTATTGTGCTATATTATGACGTTACACATAGTGTATAGTATTGAGTGCTAGGGTTATTGATTTTTTTTTCAGTTTGTTCAGCATTATTTTGTTGGCAGATGCATGCATTCGAGAACATGCATTTAGTCAAAGTGCAGGAAAAATTCAATACAAGATACAAACATAATGTGTAATCACGTTTTGTGCTGCGCTCAAGATTTCTCCGATTTGTTTATGTTTTACATGCGTAATTAAGATCGTTAGAGATTGCCTAAAATTGTTATAATGACTCTAATGACAGAAATACGTATGATAAATGTGCATTCCACCTCACCTTTCTAGAAAACAAATCAAGGTTGACTTCCATTTAGTGTTGGAATTCCAACGGAACCGCGCAACTTATACAACACTTGCACTTTGTACTTGTATGCCTACCAGTAACCAGCGCTGTAAACGGAGCTACACGGTTTATAAAAGATACAGAAATTTCCGATGCTTTATTTTCCCGAATACATTCATTTAACTTTCATCTCGATATTATGTTCAGTGTAAGCGTCCAATTTGTGGTGAGTTTTGGAGATAATATAGAATTTGTAAATATAAAAAATATAATGATATAAGGTGATAGTAATAAGATTAAACTATACAGTGGTGTAACCTATGTTCGTGGATATAAGGATTCAACACCGAATTTCGTCAAAGTTAAAAAAACGAAAAAAAGATTTATGTCTTAGATGTTTCCTCAGATATTCTACAAATAATAGAAATTGGTTTATTTCGATTTTCTTCATGAATCCTTCACTTTGACCCATATTTCATGAGCAACCAACTCGGGAACGGCGGCAGAATGCGTCACCTATTTTCGTGTCCAATGTTTGATCTATAAATAAGTCTAGAAAAACAAGTTGTATGGATACCGGGTGGTATAATTAACTTCTCTTAGTATTTATCTTCAATATCAATTCATTATAACTAGTGACAATTCCTTCAAAGAACCACGATTTAAAAAAAAAAATATTTTGACTGACAAAATAAGATACGTAGCGTGATTTATTGCTAAAAGTCACTGAAACAACATAAGAATATGGTCCACTTTGTGTTCCATAGACATTTTCTGCTGACACGGAATCCGCTAGTTGATCACGTGACTTCATTCGTTGGATTATATTCTAGCAGACGACACTTGGAATTCCGATTACCGCTTGGGATTATAATGCAATTCGGCCGATAAAAAATGGTGACGTTTGGTAATAAGTGAAATCCGCCATTTTGTATTTGTCAAAGTAAACATTAATACATTTTACCTTGCTTGAAATTACTGGATTCATTCTACTAGCTGATATTGTACAGAAAACCCATGTTTATTAACAAGGTCGCTCACGTAAATTAATAATCATTTCCGAAAATCCACGAATAATAGGTTTCCACGAAATTAGGTTACTTGACTGTATGTGATTTATAACTGTCAGACAGTATGGAAATTCTATTTCCTCTGGAGAATACAACACATGCGATCCTCATCTGATCCGATCTTCATTTCATACAATCACTTCCTGGAAAGCATATTTATTTTTCTGTCTGCCACGTTAGGATGTTGAGTGTGTTGCGGTTATGTTTATTAATACGTCATTTATTACTAGCTTTTGGCTTTTGTCATCGTTTAACCAGTTGGAGATAATTCGCCCACCAACATTTCCATCTTTGTAATCTGATAGCGTAACATCTACTTTGAGTATAGTCTTCTTAATATTAATATGGTTAATCAATTAATAAAACTTCATTTCTAGTCATCAAACTCTGGTTCTGGGGAGGGGGGTATATGAACCAGGGTCTTTTGTTTACAAAAACTTTATTGCCAACTCACTGAATTTCATTCCAAAGTCATATGGATATCTTAGAAAACGGTTACTTCAGCTGGTAGAGGAAAGGTACATTTTAAATGATTATATCAACTCATTCAATTTCACCCATTTTCTTTTTACTATAAAGGACGCACGGTAATAAAGAATTGAACAAATGGCGCTGAAATATTATGCTTTCAGTTATGAGTTTCAATTTTTTTTCTATTATTTGGTTAATTGTGGCGGCTTTCGATTGATTTTCAAATCTATCACGAATTGAGTGGGAAAATCATGTATTTTCTGATTACAATATATATGATTATATGGTTTGTGTTTTAATATATAATAACTGGTGCTTTTTTTATTCAATAAATCATGTATAGAATCATCAAGTTGTATTATGTTTGTATTTTCAATGTAACTGTTGTATTATATTTATAATATATATCAATTGTATTATTGAATGCTTCCTAATTGAAAGAATAAAATAGTAAGCTTTTCTTGTCCCTTTTTAAGAATATTAAAAACATTGCATATGAAGACATATTCGCTGAAATGAAAATAGAAGGTAGAAACTAATCGAGAGAAATAATGTCGATTATATTAAAATTATATATAAAAAATCTTAAAACTAAATTTGGTGGATCCTTTCTGTATGTCGTTTGCGTCGGAACTAATGTGGTCTGATGAAATGCCCGATTGTAATCGTCAAATGTGTTGTGATTCATAAGATACCTCTTTACTCGGATTATATATTTTTCCAAAAGATGTCTACTCCAAGGACGATTGCAATGGTCAATGGTATAGTATTACTTCCCCTTATTCACATGCGACAAACGTTTGGAAGGTATAGCATAAAACACAGCAGAAGGTTTTTATTACATGAAAAACACCGCATTCCGATGAATATAATCACGAAGGGTTTGTCCCGAAGAGGGAAAGGGTTCTATCTGACTTCTAAGAAGACAAGGAAAAAGAAAAGGCAAGACCCGGTAAGTTCATCAACCAGTAAGCTAGACTTATTTGAAACTTTGGCGTACTTCGTACGGAAATGGCATGGTACATAATTAAATTACAGTACAACATTGTGCTGACGTGGTAAGCCGCTAGATGACGGCTGAATATCCGATGCAAACGTAAAGAGACAATTGGACACACAAGATGCTGATGCGGACACGAACTTTTCTTCTGTATCGTTGATACCGCACCGGACACCGTATCTCGTCTATTCGCACCTTAATGGATCAACACATGATGAAGTAGACAATGGGGCTCGAACCAATTAAATCCAATCTAATTTACAATTTAACATGTTACTGAAAACGCATCGCTCGAATACTTTTTGCATCATGAACTGTTCTCTTAATCGATATGGTCTATGTAGCCTTTTTGTTTATTGTTCAAAACTTTACCGAGAAGAGACAGGTGGCAAAGGGGTGTAACTCGTATCTACAAACGCCGACCAGTGAGCTAGAATTAATATTTGATATGGCCGTCTGGAGTCATTCGTAAGTTAACAGTATGCAATACTTCTAATTTTCTAAGAGAACAAAATGCTTATACCTGACCCGAAGCTTACAGTATGGAAGTAGCTATTGGGATGAACAATTACCAAAATTTTATAATGCTGTCGGTTGACACTAAGTCTTAATATCTATAAAGTATAGTGGCGGTGAATGAATCCAAAACAGAAAGAGTGTTTTAACGATACTATAAATAAGAGAATTCCTTGTCTCACCCCGTGTTAATTCTCTTGTGCTGTCTGATCATTTCATATGGCTAACATTTATTCAGCAATCATTTTGAAAGGACTAAAACACTGTTTCTCTCTGTCAGTGGTGAAGGTCAGGTAGTGGAGAGATCGGCTACAGAAAACTGCCCGAAAAACGGGAAACGTATAGAATGTCAATTTTGTTCGTTTTCAACATATGGCCCACTATAGCAGGTTTTTTTTTTAAGAATACGGCCTTAAAAACTTGTTTACAAATGCAAGCTGTTAAATTTCTATTGATTATTTCAACAGCAATATATAGAATTAAACAGAATACAAAAATGACATATATCAACGTATAGTCTAAAAATACAATTTTACCGTTCGGATTTTGTAGTAAAGGAAATAATCTCACATTTTTTTCCAAATATTTCCTCGTGTCATAATCTAAAATTGAAGATTATCACACCAAGATAAACAAACAACTTATATCCTTGTCTTAAAAGATCACATGCAAATGTATGCCTAATAAAATCGAGTATAAATTCTTTGATAAATCTGCACATAATATAGGTTATGAAGAATTTAAGATGCTGTGATTGAAAATTTCAGTCAATTATATCACATTTCAAACCATTATGAAAAGCTGTCACTCTCATACGCAGTGGCTATTAGAGCTTGGCGAATTATTTTGTTACTTAAAATAGTAACGTTTCACCTAGATGAGCATTCGTAAAACCCGGGTGTTAGTATATGAGTGGAGGTATTTACTGTAGCTTTGTCCCGTACTGCACCTCAGTAGTTAAAACGATAACCAGGAGATTTTAACACAGTTAGACTAATTATTGGATAAGCTTCATAACACAAGATAATGAAAATATATCAGGTATACGTCAGATGATAAGCTGGTGTTTCGTCAGCAGTAGTAGAGAATTGAAGAAGTCTGTAGAACTCTAGGTCAAATCGTCCATAATATATTATACAGTGGTTAAGAGCAAGAAACTTGAGTGGGAAGTTGAATTGTATGCAGATGTTATAAATAGATGTAAATTCTTGCACTAAAGGAAAGGTGAGTAATGAAATTAGTAGTTTAGTAGATTTTTTACCACAACAAATATACACTTCATTTATCTAGAAGTGGACATCCTGACCCCGAGGCCATGTGTAATTATATATACTTATCTACCATACCAGATGGATAAAGTGTTACACACATGATGTTTAAAACAGTCAAAATATTGAAGTTGCTAGACATAAACACAAAGAGATAACAGGACAGTTAAATAAGGAAAACTTTGACAAATTTTATCAACTTCAGAGACTTAAAAGTCTTAAAGACTTAAAGGCGCGATAGTCTCCCATGCATTGACAGTCTTTAACGGATTCGTTTAGTAAATAAAGGGAATCAGGTAACTTAATGGAGGGAAAATCTGGATTTGGTTTTGTTTCACGGTATAACCTATAGGTTTATGAAAAGTATAAGGATGTCGACAATATAACAACATAATCTAGGTAAATGAAAAGTAAAGGTATGTCGACATTTTAACAGTATAATCTAGGTTTATGAAAAGTAGGGCTATGTCGACATTATGTTAGTATAATATAGGATTATGAAAAATAAAGGCATGTCGACAATTGAACAGTACAATCTAGGTTTATGAAAAGTAGGATACGTCGACATTATATCAGTATAATCTAGGTTTATGAAAAGTATAAAGATGTCGACAATTCAACAGTGTAATTTAGATTTATGAAAAGTAAAGGAATGTCGACAATATACCAGTAAAACCTAGGTTTATGAAAAGTAGGATATGTCGACATTATATCAGTATAATCTAGGTTTATGAAAAGTAAAGAGATGTCGACAATTCAACAGTGTAATTTAGATTTATGAAAAGTAAAGGAATGTCGACAATATATCAGTAAAACCTAGGTTTATGAAAAGTAAAGGGATGTCGACAATATATCAGTATAGCCTAGGTTTATGAAAAGTAAAGGAATGTCGACAATATATCAGTAAAACCTAGGTTTATGAAAAGTAAAGGGATGTCGACAATATATCAGTATAGCCTAGGTTTATGAAGAGTAAAGGTATGTCGACAATATATCAGTATAACCTAGGTTTATGAAAAGTAAAGAGATGTCGACAATATATCAGTATAACCTAGGTTTATGATACCAATGTAACTTGGGTTTATGCAAAAGGGAAGGGATGTCAATGATGTAACAGCATAACATGGGTTTATATAAATATATATATATATATATTTTGGCATAAACATATAATGTATATATGCGATATGAAGAATACTAACAGTAACAGCTTGGGCATAATAAAAGATATAGTAATCACATGGTATGGGAGGAATGTATAATATTAATGTCAACTGTCAACAATTATACTTCGTTTAAGTATAGCCTCCTATTACTTATATAAGCTTATACCCTTTATAGTTTGGTCGAAGAATTTATTTACTTCAAGAGCTGGACTTCTCCAACCAGAATGCAATTAATTGCGGCCGAACATACAAAAAGGGAAGTTATCTGGGGTAAATTGGCTTTGTTCCCATTAAATTCTACATGGATTCTTTTCGAATAGATATTCTGACCCACCCCAAACTGCTTCTCAAGTACTGAATTTGCCTTCTCATAATTACTTTTTCCTTGTAGTAACTCGTGTTGTATGATATGATATGATATGATATGATATGATATAAAATGGGTAAAGATAAAAAGCCAGGTAATCTATTTCAATTTCCGTTAATTACGTTAAGAGTTACCCATAGATTTAAAGAAGTACAAAAACTATATTTCATATTACATGTATTTGTTTCCAATTTCAGTTTTGGTCCCTCGGTAGTTAGCAACCACAACTTTCAGATTCTGCTCATAGTATTTGAAAATACAAGTACTTCATAATATATTATCTTGAATTTATTCGTTCTTGCAGGAATTTTGGGCTTTCAAACCAAGGATGCTTTGAAAAATGAAAACATTAAACTAACATCTGAACTGAAATCCCGTCAAGCCCAATATAAGGAAATCTACAGTCTAGTAGAAACTCTGAACAGGGAATATGTCCAGTCAAAAGCTAATGTGCCAATGGTTCGATACAACCAACTAAAAGACATGATTAAAAAACTTATTGATAAAAAAGTGATACAAAAAGTGCGCGATTTAGCGGATCATTCCCAAGAAGCACAAGCGTCTGGTACTAAAGCTCTGGTACCAAAAGATCACGCACACGCAAAAGAAGGTCAACCGGAAGTTCAAACGATTGGTCATGGCATTGGTGGATTATTACAGAGATGCAAAGAATTCGCCGGTGATGCAGACGATATAGAATTAAAAGCTAAAAAAGAAAGAGGTAAGCAGAATTTCAATTAATGAGCTTGATTCTTAGAATAATGTTGATGGATTGGCTAACATAAAACAGCATCATTGATGAACATGTTTGGAACAGACATTCACATTTTGCAAAATCTGTGATCAAAAATGATTAAAAACAGATAGCGAAATAGTGCTGTTGATATAATGTTATGATCATCTTGAATCAAGAAAAATGCAAAATTCCTTGTTTTACTTATTAAACCTGTTTATCTTTGTGAACCTTATAACATTTCTCCCTTGATGACTGTAATATCAATCTTTCAAGTTCATGTTTTGTAAGCGATAAAAATTATAAAAAATAATTTGTAAAATATTAAATATTACAAAAGTTTAGCGTTTTATAAAAACATTTTAGGCATTGGAACTATTCCTGGTCCTTAAACTTTGGATATTATGTGCAAAAACTTCAATAAGTAGGTGGGTTATCAGTTGAATGACTTTTGACTGAGTATCACTGTAAAGTAACTGATATGCGTTTTTTCATTTCAGATCTGAACACATTATCCAAACAGGAAGTGACAGAAAATAATGACAAGAAGAGATCTGAATTACAGGAATTGAACGCAAAATTTACTCGATTCAGTAATCATTTAGAGTCATTACAAAAAGGATACGAAGATTCTAAAAAATTACCCTTCACGACAAGATATGGAAAAATGAAAGAGCTTGTCAAACTAGTCATAAACGATTCTACTTTATAATCTTGTACATAACTGTATGAAGTCTTATTAATGATAAACGAAATGATTCTATTCTTACTTGATGCAATAAACTTAGATCTTTTAATTTTAAAAGAAGGTTGTTTTGTTTCACTAGTTAAAATTGGTTGTAATTGTATGAAGCTCGTCATTTACGAGACAACCGAAGCCGAAAATGACGTCTGTTGATTGAAAGGTCGCATTTGTTCCAACATCTTGTGAAACGTTTATCAGGCCAACCATCTATATTTTATTTACATTTCACCAGTCTTTGAGCTTTTATTTGCCTTTGATCAAATAGTCAGATGGTAAGGACAACCTGAAAGGAATCTGAATCTTTTGCAGTCCTTTGCTCATTTGCCAATCATATTCTCTTTTACCATCCTTTGCTTTGCCCTAATCCTTTGCTTGATTGTAATGCTTTGGATCAATTACAATTATTTGCCTATTTGCAATCATTTTCTCCGTTGTATTCCTTTGCTAAGCCCCTTTCCAAATATACGCCCAAACATTTGTTTAGTAGCATTCCTTTTCTTGGCAGGAATCATTTGCTAAGTTGCAATCCTTTGCCTATTTGCAATCAGTATCTCAGTTGCCATCCTTTGCTTAATAATAATTATTTGATTAGTAACATTCCTTTGCTTGGCAGAAATTATTTGCTAAGTAGCAGTCCTTTGCTTGGCAGAAATTATTTGCATTCCTTTGCTTATTCGCAAACAGTATCTTAGTTGCTATCCTTTACTTAGCTCCAATTCTGTGCTTGATAGTTATTATTTGCTTAGCAGTGGTCCTTTGCTTAATAGAAAGCATTTGCTAAGTTGCAATCCTTTGCCTTTTTGTAATCAGTATCTGATCATTACTTAGCGTCCATTCGCAGCTTCGTTTTTATTATTTTCTTAATAGCGGTCCTTTACTTGGCAGAAATCATTTGCAAAATCGAGTCCTTTGTTTATTTGCATTCAGTATTTCAGTTGCCGTGCTTTGCTTTATAGTAATAAACTGTCTAGTAGCATTCCTTTGCTTGGCAAATATCATTTGCTGATGTAGCAGTCCTTTGCTGATGTGCAATTAGTAGCCTATCCTTTGTTTAGCTCGAACTCTTTGCTTGGTAGTAATCATATGCTTAATAGCATTCCTTTGATTGGCAGATTTGCTCAGTAACAGTCCTTTGCTCATTAAGTTTTCAGTATCTGAGCTATCATTCTTTGCTGAGCGTCAATTCTCAGCTCTGTTTGCTAATCAGTATCTCAGTTTCAATCCTTTGCTTGGCTCCAATTCTTTACTTGAATTCCTATGCCATGTCATTTACTTATTTGCAATCAGTATTTTATTCTTTGCAATTCTTGTTTAGTTGTTGTTCTTTGTTTGGAAGCATAGTACTTTTTTTGCAGATATAAGTTGTAGTCCTTTGCCTATTTGCAATCATTATTTTAGTCGCCATTCTTTCTCAGCTCCAATTTGTTGTTTTGTTGTAATTCTTTGCTTGGTAGTAATTATATGCTTAGTGGCATTCCTTTGCATGGCAGAAATTATTTGCTAAGTTGCAGTCCTTTGCTTATTTGCGATCGGTATCTCATTTGCCATCCTTTTCTCGTTTAAAAGATGTTATCCATTGAATAATTATACAATTTTCTACTGCGTTGAAATCCTTTGCTAATTTACAATTCTTTGAATAGATGCAAGGCTACCTAGCTGCTATATACTGTGTTTAGTTAAAATTCATTTCTTGCTCACAAACCTTTGCATGCACACAATCAGCTCCAGTTCCAATTGTCTTCTTTATTACAATTTTTTCTTACTTACAATTCTTTTCTTAGTTACAATTATCTTCTTTATTACAGTTCTTTTGTCTCGAAGTTGCAATTCTCGAATTCTTTTCTTAGTAACAATTCTTCTTTTTTGTTACAATTCTTCTCTTTTGTTACAATTCTTCTCTTTTGTTACAATTCTTCTCTTTTGTTACAATTTTTTTTCTTTTTTTACAAATCTTCTCATTTGATATAATTTTTCTCTTTTGTTACAATTATTCTTCTCTTTTGTTACAATTCTTCTTATTTGTTACAATTCTTCATATTTATTACAATTCTTCTCTTTTGCACAATTATTCTTCTCTTTTGTTACAATTCTTCTCTTTTATTGCAATTCTTCTTATTTGTTACAATTTTTCTTTTTTGTTACAATTCTTGTCTTTTTTAGAATTCTTCTCTTTTGTTACAATTATTCTTATTTGTTACAACTCCTTTCTTTTGTTACAATTCTTATCTTTTGTTACAATTTTTTTTTCTACAAATCTTCTCATTTGATATAATTCTTCTCTTTTGTTACAATTATTCTTCTCTTTTGTTACAATTCTTCTTGTTTGTTACAATTCTTCATATTTATTACAATTCTTCTCTTTTGCACAATTATTCTTCTCTTTTGTTACAATTCTTCTCTTTTATTGCAATTCTTCTTATTTGTTACAATTCTTCTTTTTTGTTACAATTCTTGTCTTTTTTAGAATTCTTCTCTTTTGTTACAATTATTCTTATTTGTTACAACTCTTTTCTTTTGTTACAATTCTTCTCTTTTTTTACAATTCTTCTCTTTTTTTGTTATAATTCTTCTCTTTTTACAATTCTTCTCTTTTGTAACAAATCTCAAATTTTTGTCTTAGTAGAAATTCTCTTCTTACATACAATTGTACTATGTTTTAAATACTATTCATTTTACGGTACTACACTATGAACAGGAGACTCCTTATCCCTGCTAAAAAGCATAAACTAGTCATCTAGTTGTTAATTATGAAAAATTAAGTACAAAATGTACGGCTGTCATGTTCCACTAGTTAACTGCAAGTGATGCCATCGTTATTATGACGTCATAATAGAGTATTCATCATAATAAATAACACGATGATAGCCAATTCAAATTACTTATTCAGAAAAAAACATAACGAACTTGTGATGGCGAATTTTTGGCTGCAGTTTATGAGATACGGATTGAAAAATGTCAGTATATTTTACAAAGCAGATAGATCCATTAGTTTTAGCAATCAGAACATTGAAAACCATTGTATTTCAAACACAGATTGTTAGATCAAGTCAGTTATTTTTAATAATTGTGTAAGATCGTAAGAACTTTCTGAATAGTCTGGAGATTTCTTCTTTTCATACCACGATATGATGGTCTTGAATCACCAGTCTTTGAAGAAGATCTAATCTGGAACCCATAATCATTGAGGAAATAATAAATGGTCATTAAGAAGATGAAGAGTGGAAGCATGGGAAAATGAAGAAACACTTGAGAAATGGAGAAAAAGCTATATTGTGAAGTTTCCAAAGAACAGTGATTTCAACGATTGCCAAAACTGCGTACAGCTTCTCTCAATACCCAACAGAACTTTTACCATGGTGATTATGGAAAAGATCAAAACTTTAAGAGACACAGTCAGGATTCCCGGCCTAACAGATTGTAACGCATCATTATTGAGCAATCTCTGGATTGGCAGTCACCACTATTATGCCAACTTCGTGGACAAAAAAGTATTTGACATGGCAACAATTTGGCAAATCCTCAGTCACTATGGAATCCCTCAAAAGACCTTCAGTGTCATACAGAGAGTTTACAGAGAGACACCAGCTACGGAGTCATTCACAACAATATGCCCTCACTATGCACCTCGGTATGATGGTATCATCTTCATAATATTTGAATGTTTATTTCTTTTATTGAATTAAAACCAATATTTATTCTTTTCCATGTCCTCACTGACTTTGAGATTCTTATATTACTTCATTCGATATTTCCATCCCCATGATTATTGAGCATTCCCCTTCTCAAATTCTAGTGAACATGAGCACAATTTCCATTATACTTCCACATTTCGTGTTTTCCGATGTCGTATTTCCCTTTCTGCTATGATATTTTCTCTCTCTCTGGTTTCGGTTAGTATTTCAATTCTGTCTATATTTTCGTTCTATGGTTTTCGGATTGGAAATTCCAGTTGCATGTTTCCAAAATAAAAACCCGTTTAGTTTCTCTTCTATTTTTAGGTTGATCGAAAAACTAAAACACTTTCCTAATTTAGGCTACTTATGAGTCAAAGAAACAACAATAAACTCACACATAAACATCAATAACAAACACAATTCATACGGTGTAACTTTCCTGTCAACAGTCAGATAGGAATTTTTAAATTTGCTAATTTCGAATTAAATCTTTAATTAAAGTCGAAATTTTTTCACCACTATTACGAGATTTAATGGCAACGAACAATACCTTAGTTCTACTATTTACTAGAAGTTTAAACTGTTAATTTTTGGAAATTTCAGTAATACATTTACCTTGCGACTATCTTCATTTACTAGTTAGCTGTAAGTGATGCCATCGTTATTGTGACGTCATAATCGACTATACTTCATTAAACGTTATACAAAATTATCCAATCAAATTTGTTTACAATCCTGGCCTCAGAAAATTGCCATTTAAGCTCGCTGAGCACGATATTTTCGCTTATGGTATTAGAATAATATTTGATAAATGAACGAAATTCTTCTGCTTTTTAGCTTTACCTTTCAATTTAGCCAATTTAGAAATTCTAAAAATTGATGGTTTACATGGTTTTAACATAGCTAATATATATACTGATCAAGGTTTAAAAGACGTTTCAGGTCTGTAATGTTGTCTTAAATTTATTTCTTTGGAGACCTTCATGTAAAGGAAAAGCATGGTTTTTTATGATATTTAAAACTAGCAGCAACGAGGGAAAGGGTTTAAATATCATTAAAACACTGTTTCTTTTTGTTCGAAAAACAATAAGCAATAACGATTGTTTCTCTGTCACAATCATGTCACTCAGCAATAATGAAGTAAGGGGCGCAACTCGTGCCTACAATAATCGGTCAGTTCACCAGTGGTGACCAGTGAGAAAGACTTACTATTTTTGAAGATATTGAAACAATTCAAGCCATGGTGTCACAGGAACTTGAAGTCAAGAACCACCATGGGGAGAAACATGGGCAAATGATTTCCGTGGAAGGCACAGAAAGGAATTTTTTCGTAGGAAACCCATGAGCTCAGAAGATGTCAATAAGCCATTGAAATCCAGAGAAAGAAGAAGTTCAGCTCGAAAGCACCCTTCCAGTGGTTGGTATGTGTCTCTAGGTATGTGTCTCTTTTATCCATATATTGGGCACAAAACCGTATTTTTACAATATAATTAGACCCACATATTTGAGAACGAACCCACATAACGTATATCGATCTGAAATAAGTCCTTGGCATCCTACCATAAACACTAGTTGGCAGGCTGTGACATGATCCATGATTTTTTTCAAGTAATCATCAATTATTAAAAATATGAAGAATGCTTGTCAGAGCAGAGTAACTCACATACAATTAGTAAAAAGTAATGTCTGATAGTACTCTTTTGGAGTAGATTGATTTATTGAAACTCAAAGCTCAAACACAAAACAAGAAGGTAGGTACATGTTTATCTGTATGTGTTGATATGTTTGTTTCTATTTCATTGAAAATCAGAGGAATGGATAAAAAATGGGTGATGGCATTTTCATGACGGCATACAAAAAACACAAAGGATATAATATAAATATGATTTTTTTCTACACAATTAAAAATTGTCACTGTCCCCTTCCTTCAAACCTCACATATACCCATCCTAGTCTTGTTTCACTTTTCAGTCTTTTTAACAGTTATTTTTTTTCAGTTACAATCATTCAGCTATATGTGAGTGCTAACTATAAGCCAGCACCTCCCATACAAGGTGGGGATTTTCCAACTTTCTGTCCAGAATCTTCCCACTGTTTTAATGTTTTAGTCTGAAATTACAAATAATATTCTGACTTTAATAGCTAAGATTTGCCACACTGGCCATTAAAATGCCAAATGAAATACTTATAAGTATTCAAAGCATAAGTATTCCTAAGACCAATCTGAATAAATTTATGTGCACTTTTTACTATAGTGTAAAGTATTTCTTTTTTGCAAAGCCGATCAGAAAGAAATGAATCTCATTAAATCATCGATTCTTAAATATTTTGAATCTGAAGTAATTTTGTCGAGATGAATAAAAGAACACACCCCACCCCCCAAAAAAAGAGAATTATACTGACCACCATTGATAAGGCATGAACTCCAGAATCTAATTCTTCTTTTAATGTTTCATTTACTAACCTGTGCCTCTGGAAGTCAAAATGGAACCTCTGTTTGACAATTTACATGACATTTTTTAAATAATTTATATGTAAGTCATTATACATATTTAATTAAGCCTCTTGAAGCAAATTCACAAGGTCTTTCTACATCCACCTTTGTTTTTTTTTAAATAAAAATAATTCAATGGATAATACATAAGAATAAAAAATTCATCAACTAAATTGCTTGATTTGAAAAATGTGGGAACCCATCTTTAAAAATATTGTAACTTATATCTATCTTATTCAATCATTCCAATCACACCTACCTTAATTAAAGGAAGATTTTCAAATTTGTCAGACACTACCACTACCTTAAAATGAGTTTCAGACCCTAAAAAATATATATTCATATTTTATTTATACATATTATTGTACTAAAATGAGAGTCAACTTTCCCTAATTTAACCATTGATTGAACAACTGACAAAAGGTGACAAAAAGCCTCATGACTTCAGTGTGTGTACATTTGTTACATTTTTCTTGTATCATCAGTTTTCTATCTATTTGAATTTGTCTCTTTGAATTGAGCAAAATACAATTACCCTTTGGCACACTATGCATATAACTTTCATTATTAACTTCTAAATAGGATGGCTGAAAAAAAAATGACATATCTATAAATGAATCTTGACTGACTTCTGATTGTGAGACAAACAAATACCTTTTATTCTGTGGAAAATTCTACTTTAATTGATGGATTTATTGTCATATGACATTATACTGTCTATCAAAAAACGAGATGAAATTGATATACTGATTCATGAATAATTTGGTTCAAATTATTAAAAAAAACTACCATCAGATTCAAAACTGTCTAACTTCAAATTAATAAGACAGTGGCCTACCTTAAATATTTCAGATAATTTATTTCTAATGGAAGTTTCTACTGGTTTCTGTAAAATATAGAATATAGCTCAGGTAAGTAAGTAAATTTGACTGAAAGTGATAGTCCAATAAAAATCACAGCACACACCATAAACATGTCAGTAGAACATTCATCTGACAATGTTAAATCATGATAACCATATATAATTCTTTACTTGGGTATGAAAAAAAAACAGGTTTACATTGTGATAAATAGCTTATTACCTCATTCTGTCCAACTGACATCATTCTTTCTGACAATATAGGTCTGACTACAAACTGATGATACTTTAAATTCTGTAAAACTTTAATTAATAATGAGAATTAAGTCCTAAAAGCTGAATAACATAATGATACATAGATTTTTAACCAACTAGCACTAGTTACAAAATTTAAACAATTTAGTACAAATAATTTTCTAATAATGGTAAGTATTTGGTTGTATTGAAATTGGCTTTAATAAAATACTTGACTAACTAAAATGATACAGGACACTCTAGTGCGTGAAATTTTTAGAAATTTATAGTGGTCAAGAAGCCGTCAGTATATAATTAATATAAGACTAAGTAAGATGACTGAGGTTCAAAGAACATTTCAAAACAAATTTAACAGACCTTTTAACATATTCGTGTATGTTCAACGTAACATTAGCCTAGATTTAAGGACTGTACTGAAGACAAATCGCTGTAAATTCAACTCTTCTTATCTCCAAATCAAGCTTTTTAATTTCTGTCACGTTTGTTTGATTTGTCAATTTGGTTTGTTTACAATAATTTTTCTACTTTTGGTTTAACTTCCGATATCCTTTCAATTTTAAAACAAAATCACTGATTGGTCATATTGATATTCTAATAAATTAAAAACCAATCAAAGCTGAGGTTCTAAAAAGCTATAAAATGACTCATTTCCTGTCGCACATGCGCTGTCGGTAGTTCAAGATGTCTACCTACTTGGCCGTCAATTTGGTCAAATATGTTTGTTCGTGTAGCAAACTTTTACCGGTTTGCAGATTGTATTTATGTCGGCATTGTTTGAAGCTTCGATGTGCAGACTGCGTTCAGCATGAGGTAAATATGATGGAAAAAGAATGGACACGATGATATATCCTAGAAAGTGTAGGCGTATCATTTCATTGATTTACTGATTGTCAATCAAATAGTAGACTAAACTTATTCAATATTGTATCGTTGGCTAATTTTGCATAACCTATCACAGTGAATGAAAACAAAATTATTTTTTAACGGGAGAGTTTTAAGTCTGAAATTTGGGCAGTTTTCATGGTAAATTTCTGGTCCTGAGGCAAAAGTGTGATTGTTTTAAATATAAAATCACCAAATTCTATGTAGGCCTACTCATATGCATAAATAAAATGTAGTTGAAATTTGTATATTGATTTTGTGTAAGTTTGTGAAAAGAGTATTATCATTTATGCCATTTTTTTTTTTGGTTCTTTTAGGCTGACACACCGTATTGTCCAAATTGTATGGAGAATATGCCATCATCTGAAGCTAAGTTAAAGAAAAACCGGTAGGTCTTTAAAGTGTTTGTTGTATCTTCAGGGGGCACTTATTGTTTGTGACTAAAGGTTTGCCTTACCAATCAAACCATCAGTCAGACTCAAGGCGAGAGGGAATAGTCATCAAAGAAATACCTTTATATGAATTTTTTCCATTAATATGAATATGACTTATATTGTAGATGTGGAAGTTGTTATGATTGTCCTGGATGTGGCCATACTTTAATGACTAGAGCTAGTAGTCACTCATTGCCAGATCCTGAAGATGCCACTAAAACCATATCTAAAAAGATGTATTATATGGCTTGTGGATTTTGTCGATGGACTACACGGGATGTTGGCATTGAAGACCAGTCTGTTGGTGAGTACACTAATTGATGTAATCTTATATATATTTCCAACTTTTTTGCATAATTAACTACTGATTATGGTGCAGCTCTTGTTATTTCAGACCTGTCCTGCACATTGACTGCAAAAAAGAAGATCTTTAGATAAAACTTACAGAGCTTATATTTGTGGCCAACTTAATTAGATGCAAAACTTGAGCAATGTTCATAAAAAATTAATGCATTTTTACATTATGTTAGCTAGTGGTGGGTGGCAAGATCAAGAAAATCCAGATCTGAAAAGGGTCAGTTGTTAAATTAATTTTTGAATATCAATTCTGTGTCGTTTTGGAAATATATTATTCCATTCAAATTTGTGGAGTAGCCTAATCATGCAACTAGAGTTTAATTAATTTTATTAATTAAATATTAAAATAAATAAGCTTATCCATTGTTTTCACTAAACTTAAACATCAAAATAGCGGCTCTTGCTCTCATTTATTTATCTACAGGCCTCTTAACTGGAGCATAATTAGTAAGTTGTGTAATTTGTATTATGCTTGGATGTTTTGCAGATAAACAATCTGTTGGAACATTATCGTAAACTGGCTCAAAAGGAAAAGGCTGAGAAAGAGAGGAAGAAATATGTTAAAAGAAGGAGTCATATGTATTACACAGTAAGTACAGTACCAGGATATAACTTGTGAGAAAGGGTTTGATAATATATTTAGGGAATATGTAATAGTTAAAGGGCTATAACCAGATTAACAAACACATATAACATTGATGGCATTTATTTTTTTGTTTTTTAAATATAAATCATTACCTTATGTGTTTTTTCTATTATTCTTTAATCATAGGAATTCAAGTAAGTACAAGTAATGTAAGTACAGTAAGTCATATGTAATGAAGAAACATTGTCTATTACAGGACAAGTATGGTCTTACATCAGTTGCTGCTTCTAAAAGAAAGACTTTGTCCTCATTTTCATCATTAAGGTTTGTATTGACTGGAATAACCTTTAACAGATAATATTGTGTGTACACATGTTAAAGAACTAGTATTTCAATTATATGTTGCTACTTCTGTTCCAGTGTTAAAGATGAGGAGACTATTACTGAATTAGAAGTAGGAAAAACTGTGGAGGATTTTGAACCATTACCAGAAGATATCTTCACTAAACCATTGGAGATAACCAAATGTAAGCTTTTTTTTTCATAGACAGAGATTTGAATATATCTGTCACAATATTGTTAAATCTTATTTTTTTTATACAATGTACATTGTCATGAAACAACTCTCCATTAATATTTTTCAAACTTCGCATATTTTTTTCCCTCTTAATTATGGAATAGTGGAGGATCTTATGCTGTATTTTGGCATCTCTAAAACCCAGCAAAAGAAACTCATTTGTTTTGGAATTAATTCTCACATTGCGCTTGACATGGGCATTGTTCTTTAATCTTATCTGGAGGCAAAAAGTAGGAAATTTTCACTTCACTGTGCCTATTGCAACATAATGATTTTATTTCTTTACAAATAGTAACTACTATGGACCAGAGACTAACAACTCCAGAGTTTCAACCATCTGCTAGTAAAAATATGTATCCTCTACATAAACATTTATTGATTAGAAAATCTTTAAGATGCAAGGTAACAGTTTTGGATTTATTCTCATATGTTAAAGAATCTTTCTTTGAAAAATTTTTGTTATGTGATCGCATTATTTATCATATAAAGTAGTGTATTTTTTTGAGTGGTAACTCATCTGTTTTGTATATGAATTTACTTGAGGCTGCTTAACCTGCTAATGTTGTTAAAAAATCTTGCCATTACATACGCAAACTTCAGAAAGTTTTCCAATTATTTTATTCCAAACAGAATGGGTGAACGAGAATTGTTATGAATTCATATTGAATTACCATGTATTCACATTTTGTATTTTGTGTATTTGATAGGAATGTGAACATAATCTGAGTAAACCAGATTTCAACCCATTATCAATAAAGTTTAAAATCCAGTTAATTGCATTGTAAGTACATTAAATTAGATAATTTTACTTTTAAACAGAATACTGGATAAGACCAAAATTACATATATATTGTTTTCCCACATCACTATGTTGTGTCATTTCTGCATGTCACCACATGTTGTTTTGTATTTGAAGAACTCATCAGGGTACAAGAAATAGTTGAAATTACAATATTCTGTAATGTGTTTTATTTCTTACAGAAACCATATTCCTGAAGTAAGAATTGGTAGTCCTGTTAATTTTGCTCCTAAAAAGGTTATAAGAATAATAATATTAATTCATTTAGTTCAGTTCAAATGGGAATGAAATAAACTTTTCTTCCTCTGCCTTTTTAACTTATTAAGATGGGCAATAAAGATGTTTGCAATAAAGTAAATGTTGCTGAGCAATTTTGTCAGAGGGCCTCAGTTTATTTTCTCTTTTGATTTTTAATATTTTATTTCATAGGAAAATGTAGTGGTTTTAACGCTGAATAATCCTCAAACATTTGATACAGTAGTTAAACTATTACCTCTTGATGATGAAAGTGGATTCTCTAACAGTGAGGTAAGTTCTTTTTATTCGTACATGCATTTCAGTTCAAATTAATGGGATTAAAAAAGGCATAGGGTCCATTTATTTAGCTAATTTGGTATGATTAGTATTCTCACAAGGAATTCAGAGTGGCACAAATACTCATTAACTGCTATTCTCTGTCCATAGGTCAAAATCTATTAAAATTAAACCTCCTTTTCTAGCTGGCTATCCTGGTACAAGATATTATCTGACATTATCTGGATATTTCTTACTTTTTTTCAGATTGAATTACCTAAGAGAGAATTAATATTAGCTAAAAGAAATGATTTAGCAGGATATGATGACAGTGCTGTCAAACAAGACTTTAAAGATGATTCAAGGTATATTCGAGTAAAGATATGTTAACATTTTGGCCCTAAGCATATTTGAACAGCCCACTTTATTTAGGTAGAATAAAATAAACCTATGATTGGGTTTTGAATCATGCCAATATGTACACAAATATCTCGTACAAAACATTGTAGGAAATATAATTTGATTGACTACATGCTTAGCATGTTTATATCATGGATCTGAAAAGTTCTATAACACTTGCACTAACATCTATCATTTAAAATTTGTTTTGTAGTGTTGTAGCATTTAGAAATTTAAATAAAATTGGTATATTTGTGAAGGTTGTACCTAACGTTGATCAAGGTGATGTTAGGGTAAGTAATACATTTTGTACATTTTCAAAATGAAAATAAGTCCATGTCTAATATATCAAACATCCCATGAATAAAAGTGCAACTTGATCTATTGTACCAGAATCAATGTATTCATTCAATGTTTATGATATTAAAAAAAAATTTATTTTGCCAGTATTTTAGAATGTTTTTTTGCCTCTTCATATGTGCCTATATCTGGCAAAATTGGAAAAAAAAAACATATACATATACATATACAGTATTGTAGTATACGAGGTTAATAATTTTTGTATGGTCATGTTGCCATTTATTAATTGTTATAAATGGCAATTTATATTTCAGATCACATTTACCATGCAACATGAATATCGTAATACAACAGCTACTTTAGGTACAGAAGATACAGAACCACCTGTAGTTTGGATTGAACAAAAAGTTTTTGTAAATTTAGGAGCCATTAAGTCCTCCTAGATATTCTAACTTAATCTCTTATTTATTTTATTGTATGGCTTTGGTACTAGCTCTTGTTACTGGATTGGATTTTCAAAACAAACGTAAATCATTGAAACTATTGTTCTTGGGGCTGCTTTCATTTGAACTTTTCATTTTTGCTTTAAATCTAGTCAATTTATATCTCTAAGCCTTCCATTCTGTTTGTTCTGAATTACAGCTGAACTTAATTTATAATTTTTCAGTTTAATTCTATATTCCAAAACCAGAACCCTTTTCAAAACATCACTATTTTAAGAAATACAATAATTGATTAATATAATAATCAATTTCAATCAACAACAAAAATAACAAACATTACCTTAAATATTCGTGAAATTTGCTTTTAAAAGGCCTTTTTAGTCGGGAAATAGTTGAGGGGTTTGCAAAAAGAGTAAAACTGTTCTTTGGATGGTTTATTGATGCAAGGACTTGATGCATTTATAAATCTGCTCACTAGTTTATATCGGTCAATTGACTATTTTCTAACTACTTTAAAGAAAAGTCAAGTTATAAGCTTACTCATGATATTCTGTATCAATTACATTAGTCTTTCATCCATTCTCACACCGCTTTTGCCTCTTAATGTACTGCAAGACATAAACATAGCTTCTGTAGTGTGGTATGAGTAAGAATAGCACAATAATTGACCATGGTACTTCATGATTACTAGTGCCGACTAGTCTAGAACACAATAGATCATGATTTACTAGTGCTGACTAGACTAGAACACAATAGATCATGATTTACTAGTGCTGACTAGACTAAAACACAATAGATCATGATTTACTAGTGCTGACTAGACTAGAACACAATAGATCATGACTTACTAGTGCTGTCTTGACTGGAATACAATAGATTTACAAGTGCTGATTAGACTATAACACAACAGATCATGATGTACCAATGCTGTCTGGAATAGAATACAATAGATAATGATTTACTTGTGTTTCCTCAATGGAACATGATAGATCATGATTTATTGGTGCTGTCTTGACTAGAATACAAAAGATCATGATTTACCAGTGCTGTCTTGACTGGGACACAAAAGATCATGATTTACTTGTGTTTTCCTTAATGGAACACAATAGATTATGATTTACTATTGCTGTCTTGACTGAAATACAATAAATCATGATTTACTTCTGTTTTCTTGACTAGAACACAATAGATCATGATTTACTAGTGCTGTCTTGGCTGGAATACAATAAATGTTTTCCTTAATGGAACATAATAGATCATGATTTACTAGTGCTGTCTTTACTAGAACACAATAGATCATGATCAATAATATGGTTGTAAAAATATTGTTATTTACGTTTAATGTATTCGAATAAAAGCTAATCATTGAGCTGTAATTGTTTGCTTCTTACATTACATTTTAGAAACTCCCAATATGCTTCTGTCGACACGCATACATAATGGAGGAAAATATTATATAAATGAATTGGGATTTAGTTCTATTGTTATTGAAACAATGGAAGAAACAAACATTCTAAAAAAAATTATTGATTTATATTTCCGTTAGTTTCCGTGAATTTCCGGATTATGTAAATGAAGTAGGTCACGTTACCTTATATGGTAAACGTTCTAGAATGCAGAAGTTGACTTGACAACTCTCAAGAATACAGTGGTCGAACTTACATCTTTCACGAATGCAAAGTCAAGAAGACATAGTTGATAATGTCAATAATGCAAAGTTAAGAATTCATTTTCTTAAAGGAAAGTTTGAATGGTGTCTGATGTGAAATAAAGTTTGAAAATTAAACTATCAATATCTTTACTTTGTAATAAGTACAGTGACTTTTTGATTTTAGGAAGGTTTATTTTGTAATTGTGTAATGTTGAAATATGACTTTGTAAAGTCGAGGCCTTGTTTTCAAGTTTGACTTTGTCAATACTTTTGGCAACGATCCCCCTCTATATTATATAGGCTAATTGTGCCGATAAGGTTAAAACTATTGATCGACCCACTTTCTTTAACTCAATTGTTTCTTTGAATGATTTAGTTTAAAGGTCAAATTAAATCCGCATTTAACTAAATTCATTATCTCGTGAGACTTGTGCAAGGCCCATTTGATCCTGTTTCGTATCTGTTAATGACACAGAATTTTATTATTGGGAAATCCAAAGGGAAATACCCTTTTTTTTTAAAGATTCTTCATTGGTCAAATTACATTCACGTGATTATATGGAAAACTCTAGTGACAATAGTGAATCAAAACCCAATATCCTCGCACCTTTAATAATCTTTCTTTTGGCGTGTTTGGTTGCCCATCGCATTATTCAATTCAATTTTTCAACTGAAATCAACTTACGGTAATGAAAATGTTTCTTAAGGTTTTATCATATAAAAGATAATATTATTCGCCTATTACATCTATATTATTAAAATTATGACCGGGTTGTAAGTAGGCCTGTGTATCTAGAGTAGATAAATATAGCCTATAAGTGTCATATAGCGCTTGCTAAATTGCATCGCATTAATAATAATATATGCCTTATAGGTCACTTTACTAAATGCATGAATCTCTCAGATATTCCGATTTAAGTAGGACTAAAATTTTTACGGACTATAGAGACTTTCTGCCTTCAAATTTCTAGACCGAATAGTATTTTTTTTTTCCCGTGAGCTGTGACAAAACCAACCGCGACGTCCATGGATGAAACGAAGCTAATTTATTGTAAAAATGAATTATATTTTTATTCCACGTTACTTTTATTTTACTTTTCATTCCATTTTATTTTTGATTTTAATTTTCATGGAAACTTTATTATTTTGATATACAATCCTTGAATGAATTGAGACAAGACCGTATAGGAGCATTAATCAGCCTTTGTCATAAAAAGTGAAAAATAAAAAATGCAGTGTAAACAAGGCCAATAAACCAACAGATTGCCCCTTTAACCAACGCAGTCTCTTTTGTATATAAATCTAAAACATTCTCGGAAGGAACATTTTATAGACAAGGGGTGCAACTCGTATCTACTAACGCTGTCACTTCAGCCGATGACCATTGAGCTAGACTATATACTTGATACGGTATTCTGGAGTTTATTTTTCTACTTAAACGTGATGGTCGTTCAAACGTGAACCTAAATAAAAGAAAAAAAAAAAAACTACCAGGAATTTAAGATACGCTAACTAATATTTCAGATATTATATTGTAAATCGATTTTATGTGAATTTTATTGTATCATTACATACCTTAAAGGACATTCATAATTCAATAATACAACTATGACTATAAAAAACAATACAAATATACTATACAGATATAATGTTATTAAGATTGTCGTAAATTCAAAATCCTTAATTGACGTGAATATTCATTTGAAAATAACGAGATCATGCTAATTTGAAATATAGCCTGATAATAAAATTGATGATGAATTAGTACAAACTATATGACGATCCGATAAAGGCAAAGTAACCATTTCTTACCAGATAAGAAGTTGTTGAATTATTTACTCTGAAGCTAGTGTAATAAAGATGAAATCACGATGATGATTGATAAACTTATATTGTATACTTATAATAACTTGTCTTTGTTTTTCAGTTGTAATAATAACTCTTTTTGTTTGACAAGAAGAATTTAGTGTACCATGATACTGAAAGCCTAAGATTTAAAAGTGAGGATAATTTATGTTCCTGTACATTTATCGAATTTCCATAAAAAAAATATGTTACCGTTTATATCTACCCGTCTGTCGTTGTAACTGGTAGCAGATTTTCGACACCCATACCCTGTCCATATACACCTTTCGTCCATATCAATACAGTCCAGTCCGTAGTTTAGATTCTATTGTGTTAAAACTAACCCAAAACATATCTTATTTATTCCTTTTAGAAGAGTTCATGTTTCTACTAAAGTTAATCATTATATAGCGTCTTTAGGTCGAGGTAAGTGACATCCATATCTTTATTTCCAAAGATTTCACGGTTTTACGTCCTACCTGTCTGCACATAAAATTGGGCTAATGAAGACCGTCAACATCAGTGTGCAATGGGGCAATTTTTTTCATGGCATTATCCGCAGCTCCTGGAGTCCATATATTGTCCCTTCCGAAAGACTTGGGCGCTTTAAGGGATCCTACTTCGGGCAGAGGCGGATTAACCTATAGGCAAACTAAGCAGCTGCCTTTCGGCCCGCATGGAAAATTCGGCCTTTGACAAATATTGTAACAGTAAAAATTATCAAACAGTCAATAAATTTCCGCAGGCCCATCGCAAATTATCTTACTAGGAGCGTGATGTGTGAGAATCGACTAAATTGTTTAATGGTGATGAATGCCGATATCGTGCATACGATTGGTGCTGATGAGCTGATTCATATGTTCTTGAAAACAAAGATCGCAAACTTCCTGCCATAAAATTGTAATCACATCATGCTCTCTCCCTAAAATGAGAAATTAGGCCCTCTATGGTTCGTTTGCCTACGGCCCAACAAGTCCAAAATCCGCCACTGCCTTCGGGTGTAAGTTAGGCCTATGAGTAATGACACGTCATATCATAAAGTAGCCTACTAGGCATTGTTGAATGAAGTTCGAGCAGTTCTTTGAGTCCCATCAACATCAAGCCCAATGCATTATTACAAATTTCTTTACTATTTCACGAATTAATACCGATAATGTTGATAAAAATATAAAGTAGTCCTTTACATCAAATACGATAGAGTTTCACGGAAAAAGAACTCGACAGTCCGATTTTGTCAATATTTCTGATAGTAGAGTTCAGTCAAAGAATCCACATGGAATTATCGATAAAATAATTGCATTCTCCAGTTCTCTTTTTCCATAAAATAGGAACCACTTTTCGAAGACTTACAATTTCACAAATATCACAATTTTTTATCGGTCGAAATTCCTTATTAATCCCAAGCTGAAATTTTCGGATTCCAATGTCGCCATCTTGGATCTCCGGTCGTACTCTATTGCAATTTCCTCCGGATATTTTAGCGGAGAATCCAGACAGTCGTAATAGAGTTGACCCCAGAAAAATTCTATGCCTATGGAATACAATGTGGGCCATATTCTTATGCAGTTTCAAAGACTTTTAGCAATAAATCACTCTTACTTATCTAATTTTGTAAGTCAAATTTTTTTTCTTAAACCATGCATTTATCTTGAAGGAATTGTCATTAGTTATAATGACATATTATTCAAGATAACAACTAAGAAAAGTTATTCCACTGGGTATCCATACAACGGGGTTTTCTCGACTCAAAAGATCAAACATTGTAGGCTACACGAAAATAGGTGAGGCATTTTGCCGCCCTTGTCGAGTTGGTTACTCATGAAATATGGGCCGAAGTGGGGATTCATAAAGAAAATCAAAACAAACCAATTTTAATTATTTTAGAGAATACCTGAGCAAACTTCTGAGACATAAAAAAATAGGTTATTTTAATCTGACGAAATAAGGTGTTAAATGCTTATAAGCACGAAAATAGGTTATACCACTGTATATGTTGTTGTTACAACCCCTCTGACCTTAAGAAGGCTACACACAAAAAATGACAACCGGAATTATCTTCAAAAGTGTGAATTAGTAAATGATAAGTATAAAAACTTACATTTTCATGACTAGGTAATGGTATAAGAAGGATGCATTTAACAATTCATCGAGAAAAAGGAAATTGAACAAAATTATTTCGTGTCGGGATACTTTATCCTTTAAAAAAAAATAAAGTACCGGTAGTCCGAAGTAGCATATTATTGATACAACAACTGTATCAGTTTTAGGCAGAATACTAATCCTTTAGGCCCTATATATTTGTGATGTACATTTTTGAAAAAGACATCGTACGGCATCATGTTGACACTTACTGACTGAGGATGAAATAACGGGATTTTCTCTTTTGTTTCCAATTATTTCTGTCATACGTTTTCCGACTATTTATAGAAAATTTATTTCCGGGTTGAAACAGATTAATTATTAATACAAAATACAGAAATAAAGAGAAATAAAACGTACATTAGACTCTGTTATAAATACAAGGATGGTTAGGGGTTGGGTATGCTTATCGCCTATAACAAATATGTCTGAAATTCAACAATTTCTATCTAATATGAAGCAGATGTAATCTAAAACTTTTATGTGTAAACTGTGAAAAGAAATAAACTGAAAGTAGACTATGAACTTCTTCCGAACGAAATAGGTAGCTGACGTCAATGTATAAAAGGATTTCCTACCTGCGACTTATTTTAATATAAACTTATCAGCCCGACAGAATGTTTTATTAAATGATGACTTACATTGTTACAGGTAACTATCAACTTCATAATGATCAATACAGTTTCATCTACAGTTACCGAATTTCTTCAAAATTAAAAAACAGAATTTATTTTTT